GAAGAGTGAGGATCCTTTGAGGGAGGCAGAAAAGCCTCCCAGGGACAAACTGAGAATCCTCAAGCATCTTTACTGGTAAGGTCTAGAAGGGAAGCTGGGTCTAAGAAAGTAAAGTCCTTAGAAAGAGGTTTTGAGATTAAATATTATTTACTATGTTGAAAACAGAAGAAGACACAGTGACACAGTGCTTCTGGATTCCACTTGAGTTTGTTTCCCTTAGCATATAAATAATATTTTCAGTGACAATTACAGTTTGTATATCCTCTTTGGGAGAGATCAGGGAACTTGGAGAAAGAAGAGTCTGAAAAATTAGATGCTAAACTAAAGACTATAAAACAGAGGTTGGAGGAATCTTTGAATCAAAACAGCAAACCTTCAGAGAAATCCAATCTGGAATTTATAATAACACCAAAAGAGGAAGTTCCAGATAAGAAATAGCAGCCCATTGAGATGCTGGATAGAAAGGCTTTGGCTATAGGTCAACTTCATCAAAGTGGATATTGTATGGGTACTGTCAAGGATCAGGTCTACATGCTAAAGTAGAAATGCAGAACCTGCTTGGTGTTGCCTTGGAACAAGGTCATACAGTGGCTTGTGTGCTCCATTTTACAGAGACTAGAAAGCTGAAATATATGCACCATGCCATAGGTTCATATTCAGAATTCCAATGGAGTTTTGACTTAAATTCTGGAAAGCATAATTCTGTTATACATTTGTTAGAAATGGTGTCTTAGAGATGCCTTTGCAAATTGGGGCTTATGGTGCTTCAGCATGTGTACTCATTGGAATACAACAATATTTTAGACATTATGACATGAAATATATTACAGATATAACTTACAATCTAATAGGCCAAACAATTATTAAAAGATCTACAATAATTTTTAAAAGATAATCATAAAACAGAAATGGATTGTGAGCTGCCATGTGGGTGCTGGCAATTGAACCTAAGTCATCTGGAAGAATAGTCAGTGCTCTTAACTGCTGAGCCATCTCTTCAATCCCTTAAATTTTTAAATGAAACAAGTAGCACATCTACTAAGATAGACTGGATTTTAGGGGGAAGAAAAACCTGCTGAATTAGATCAGCATATAAAGGCTCTAATTCCAAAATTGGAGACAGAAAATGTATTGCATTGAGGAGGAGAATATGTTCATGTCTCAACAGGAAACAAAAAAGCTATGTATTCCATCCAAACTGTTGGAAATCAGATTTGACAGGGGGAGACCTCCTAAAGATCTTGGCTGCAGACAGAAGGAAAGAAATCAAAACAACCAAATGGGACAGGTAACATAATTTGCTGATCCCTCTACATGGGAACAGTTCTGAAATTGATTGAGGCATGAAAACGTATCTAGCCAAGGCTTCAGCCTTGCATAGCTAATAAGTCTTTGGTTATAAATTCCTCAGGACTTATTATGCCATTCTTTTAAATGGCATAGATAAAAATTTATTTTACAGTTTGGTTATACAGTCCAAATTATATAGAAAAACAAATGCCTTACCTGCTGGAACAAAGAGCAGATAATCACCTTTAATTGAACTGTGCTCAAGTACACAACCCACACATATATTAATACAAAAATGTATAATACCTTTGAAGTTTTATATATTTTGCAGAGCAAGAGGACCAGACACCCAAACAGACAAGACAAGTAGCCCAGGTAATCAAACTTCACAAATGGCCTCAATAACTGTTTCCTCAAAAATCTGCAGCCGGGACAATTTCAAAATGGCTATCTAGATTGTCCAGCATCACAGACTGTTCCAGTCAGAACTTCAGTTAAATCCTGAACTTTCTCAGCATTCACAGGCTGGACAGCAAAAGTTACATCTAGCTTTCTAGTTACATCTAGACTGGACAACATCATAGTTTTCTTGGGCCACCAAAATGAAAAACTATATCCCAAATCAGCAGGAAACAATTTAAGAAAACTACACCTCATTCCCAAGAGGGAGTGGATGATTTTTGGTTATTCTACGGGTGATAAATGTTTGTTATTACTTTAAAGGGGTTGGTTATAGAAATGATAAATAAAAGGTAGATTATTGAATCTACTTTTGGACCAAAGAACATTAGTAAGCAAAAAATCTTACATTGGTATAAATCTTTGTACATTGATACAGACTTAATATTACAATTGGTTACAACATGTGAAAGTATTATACTTTGTAGTTCTTAAAACTGCAATGTTAAATTCTAGTCCTTTTAAAAGCTACTATTACCAACTATTTAAGATAATTAAGAAATGTATATTAAAGCCAAGTGCCATGGCGCATGCCTGTAATGCCAGCACTCTGGGAGGCAGAGGCAGGCAGAGCTCTGTGAGTTGGAGGCCAGCCCCATGCACAAAGTGAGTCTAGGACAGCCAACGCTACACAGAGAAACTCTGTCTTAACCCTGACCCCACAAAATGCATATTAGCAGTCAGACAGTCAAACTCGTAGTCATGTTAGATACTAGTTTAATTACAAAAATAATTTTTTAGATTGACAGGTTAAAAAAAATATCTAGAACAGCCTTACCAGGCCACAGAAGAAGATAATGCAGCCATTCCTGATGTGATCTGATAGACTAAGATCAGAAGGAAGGAGAGGAGGACCTCCCCTATCAGTGGACTTGGGAAGGGGCATGCATGCAGAAAGGGGAGGAAGGGTGGGATCGGGAGGGGAGGAGGGAGGGGCTTATGAGGGGATACAAAATGAATAAAGTGTAATTAATAATAATAATAATAATAATAAATATCTAGAAACAAACAATTAAGATAAGATAGATAGATGGTCTTCAAAAATCTCAGAGATCTACAGAATATAGCATTTGAAGATTGTATTAACTTAAGGTCTTTTTTGACAATGAGATAGGTCTGCTCCTGGCAGCAACCCTGTTCTATTTCAAAAAGCATCAAAGGCTTAATATGTGGCAAGCTAGCCACTGGGTGAAAAAATGCCCTTTTGTCAATTACAGACAGAATAGTGTCCAAACAGGACAAAATGGAATCAGGACAGTTAACTGCCAAGCTCTGCAAGGACAAGGTTGGCCACTCCTTCATAATTCCTGCTTCACAGGAAAGTCTGTCAGATATTCTGAGCTAGAAGTCTGAAGATGATGCTCCAACATTATTGAGAAAATTTGGGGGACTGTCCAAGAAGTCAAATATCTCTGTCATTTCTATTCTTTTAGAAGATGCTTGCCTGTACTTTCTACATATTTAGGTAATATTTATTCCTTCTTAATTCTCTGATAAGGTTGAAGACTAATAGTTATAGTTCCACAGTTAAACTTAAATTGTTTAAGATGATAGAAATAGATAGTAGAGTACTTTATTCAAGGGTGCCAGATATACAAATGTAAATCTTACCTGATAATTTTCATAATTGTTATTATTACATATAGTTTGTTATTGTAAGAAAAAGAATATTTTTATTAGTCTAAAAAGGGGGATGTAGGTATAAGATTATTGTGTAATTCAAATGCTGATTTCTGTACTACCAATATCTGGTTCCAGTCCTTGTTCTGAGAATCTCCTGTCTCAATGTTGTATAAACTTTGTTCTCCAATTGTCCTCAGATGTGCCAATAAAAAAGCAGCTTACAGACAATCGCTGAGCAGGGGAAAAAACAGGGCTGGACTTCCTGCCAGCCAGGGGAGGAGGCGTTAGAGAAGGAAGTAGGGGATTGAGCCATGGGCAGAGGTCCAGAAGACATCAGGAGAGGTTCAACTGAGCAGGGAAAGCCATAATGTGCAAGTTTCTATGGGATTCACAATGGGAGGAAGCCAGACTAGCTTAGCAGGTTAAGAATAATTAGTCTAAATTATCTGGGTGATAGCCAAGTTAAGAATGAAACTGAGAAATAAACACAATTTTATAAAAATGACTTTACCCGGTGGGAGAAGGTATTAGGAAGGAGAGATGGTAGTGCTCTACCAAAGCAGCAGTGCTCTGTGACATGGAGAGTGCCCGTGAGTGATACACTACAGCAGTCAGAGCATGCAACTCTAACTTATGATATTCTGGTAACGGGCATGTTACATGTTCTCACCACAAGGAAGTGATGTATTAGATATGACAGTGTCACATGTGTGCACACAGCAAAACATTCTGTTCTGTTCTATTTCTAGTAACTGTCAGAGAAGTGCAGGCTCCCATCTTCATATAGTTTTTCAAACTTATTTCAAAACATTTTTTTCATGATTCCAACCAATAACCTCTACAGAAAGGCTTTCCTATGATCTTACAAAGAGAATATAAACTACTATGAACCCTTATGCTAAAAAACAGGAAAAATCCTAAAATGTTGCCATAAAATTAAAGTTCTTTTCTTTGATTTCAAACCAAGTTTTTTTTTTAAGATTTATTTTTATTACTGTTAATCATTTGTATGTATCTGTACCTATATTTGGGCATGGTATTGTTCCACCTGGAGCTGAATTTACAGCTGGTTGTAAGCTGCCCAACACGGGAGACCAAACTTGGGTCTTCTGCAAGAGCAGCACATGCTCTTAAGCACCGAGCCATCTCTCCATCCCCATGCCCTTTAGGTTAACCCTGGACCGTCACTGGAGAGACATGAAATGTTTATGATGATAAAATATACATAGGAAAATCCAGGCTTTGTGAGCTATGGATCTTATATAAGTGGTAGGAATTTAAGAAAAAGAATTTAAAAAGTCACAAAAGATAAGCCAAGAGGTCATGGAAGGGTGCTGGGGCATTGCTTAGTAGTGAAGCCCTGAGTTCAAGCATCAGTACAGCTAGAAAAATAGCTTACAGTTCATTACTTCAACACTAAATCCATTTCTAGCTTCACGCTGTGAGCCTGAAATTAGGATAAGAGCACACACAAATAAATAACTTTGGACTTCCATCCTGAACCTTGAGTGCAGGCTTACTGCATGGGGATTCACAAGTAGTTCAGAGCAGAACTGATTTATCTTCAGGGACCTAGACCATCCCTGTCCTCTAGGAAGTGCACAAGGGAGAAAAAGAGCTGTACATACCTGAAAGTCACATGATACTGATAAACTGCTTCATTATGACACTGGATTTTGATGAGGTTCAGTCCCAAAGACTGAGGTGTTCCTTTGGATCCTTGCTTGACCAAAATCTCTCTGAGAATAAAAAAAAAAAGAAAGAAAGAAAAAAGGGGGGAGCACAAGCCAGACGTGATAATATACAACTCAGTTCCATCTACTCTGGAGGCTAAGGCAGAAGATCCCTTGAGCCCAGGAGTTCAAGGCCAGCTGGGACTACATTAAAAAACAAAAACACATCATAAATCCCAATAACCAAGTAGTAAGCAGCACCCATCAACAAGAAAAAGACTGGGAGAATTTTTGCCACTTAACTTACAGATACACAAACTGGGAGTCAAGATGTACAAACACAGCCACATGTAATTACACAGTAAAGTCATCTGGGCTGTCCTACAAATAACTACCATAAACAAGGCCAGCCACCTAACAACAAAGAATTCATTCCACAGAGAGGTGAGTGGGGTTAATACTCCTCCTAGGTGACTGTCTTATCTTCAACATGACAAGGCACTATCAATCTAATGTAGAAGGGAAGTGACAAGCCAGGAGTCTGCTCACTACTCACACAACTGTTTATAGTCACAGTTAAACTCACTGTACTTCTTCAGGAACCTCTTCATCTATCTCCCCTCTGTCAAAAGGCAAAACACCCTCCAGCCCCAATCACCCCACAAGAACGCAGACTCACAGAACACTGTCCACATTTCCACCTGGCAACCCGAGAGCAGGTTGCTGGGTACCCTTCCTCGCCATCCCTCCTTCAGAGCACAGGGTGGTCATAACTCACTTCTCCTTTCGTTCCATAGTCAGGACTGGAGGGGAATCTGCAGAGTGCAGTGAGGGCGGAGACAGAGCTGGAGGTTGTGGCAGCCGTGGGGGATCCCGGGTGGTCAGGCCAAAGGCACTGTGAGGTTTCTCCACTCCTCTGCCTATACTACTGGCTGCTCTTCCCAGTGGTAACAAAGAGACGTCAGAACTGCCTCTTCCTAGCATTCTGAAATGAGAAAGAGGCAAGTGAGGGCTTCTCTAGTCTACACTGGATCTAGACTATCCCCTCAAATGTACCATGCTTTTTATTTTTAAAAACTGGATGTGAAATTTATTAGTGAACATGATTTGCCAGTGTGTAGGAAAACACAGGGAAGCCCCTAGGAGTACCCTTGCCACCACCTGTTCAAGGGATCACTACTGGTGGGTATCTGACCCCACAGCCATCCAAGAGGAGCCTTTTCTCAGCTATACCATGTCTTCAAATTCAGCTGCACCGCACTTAGTGAAGCACAGATCTTTGAGGTATGGGGAACTTGGACTTGGATCTACATAGGGCATCAACGACATGTTCCTTATTCTGTAGCCTGGTGTGGATGGACATGATGACCTGGCCAGTGTGAACCCTGGCTACTGCCCTGGAGCTTCCCAAAGGCACAATGCAAACTATATCAGCACTGAGATCAGAGGCATAAATAGCTTCCACAAAATTGTTTCCAAGGTCCCTCAGGACAACCATATTGGCAATCAGGTACATGCCACTCCCAAGGGGGCTGCTGTTTGCAGCCATTTCCTACCACTATTTTCTTGGAGGGGATACCCAAAGGGGCCCAAGCTCAGCCTTAGGGGTCTCTTAAAATAATGACCCATTCACTAGCCACTCTTGGCATGTGCTCTCAGAGCCATCTTTCTAGGCAGAGTTGAGGGGAATGTGACTGATATCTACCCTCATGGGACCTGGAGAAGGGGCAAATGAAGCTGTGAGGTACCCAGTGGGAACTACTCTCCTTTCACAATGACTGCCTGGATGAACAGCCACCAAATACTCCTGGTAAACACCACCATGGATGCCCATGTTGGAAATGCTCATCTGGAAGATAACACGCTTATCCCAGAAAACTCTCTTTGCATTTGATACTTGAGGTTACAAGACAAACTGACTCTACCCACCTACTCCAACCAACAGAAGCCTCTGCGAGCTTGCTGTCCCCAGCTGCCAGCACCAAAGGATCCGGCAAAGAGGATCGGGGTTCTTCTCTGTCTTTGCGGACCACGTTAGCTGATAAGCCTCGACCTAGAACACCTCTGCCTGCAAGAACCAAACCTCAGATGTTATTATGAGCTGAGTATTTTGCAGTTGGGTTTCTGAAGACAAATCATGTGGACACAAGAACCATGCAACCACACATGCCTCTATAACAGAAGAACCAAGCAACCACACATGCTTCCGTAACATGAGAACCAAACAACCACACATGCCTCTGTAACATGAGAACCAAGCAACCACACATGC